ATCTGTCAACAGAACACTTGCTGTGCTTCTATCGGTGTTCAGTAGAGTCAATGTTGAGCTGTGGGATCACCATTTTTTTTTTAGCTACATGACCACAGAAAGGAAGGCACTTCAGAGAGTTATCTGTATTGCCCAGAAACTGATGGGCTCTCCCTTCCATCTACACAGGGCATATATATATATATAACTCCCACTGCCCCATAAAATCAGTGGCAACTCTTCTCCCCCGGACACCACCTCTGTAGACTACTATCCTCAAGAAGGTTTTATTTTGGCAATAAAGGCAAGGACAAACAGTATTAGGAATCCAAGAGCTACCATTGGTCGGGAGGACATATGAATTAACACAAAAAAATGAAATAATAAATTTCATGCAACAATTTTGTAAGTGGCATCTAATGATCCTGATTTTCTGTATAGTAAGGGCAACACGGAAAACGGCAAGCATTTTATTTTTTTTTTTACATATATATTACATGCGTATATACACTGTTTAAAGAAATAAAGGGAACATTAAAACAACCCAGTATAACTTCAATTAAACTTCTGTGAAATCAAACCAATTTGAATGCTGGTGGTGCTTTCACAGTCATGGTAGCTTGAGATTAACTCTACAACCTACACAAGTAATTCAGGCAGTGCAGCTCATCCAGGATGGGAAATCAATGCAAGCTGTGACAAGAAGGTTTACTGTGTATTTCAGCTTAGAGTCCAGGAGGCCATACCAGGAGACAGGCCAGTACACCAGGAAACATGGAGGAGGCTGTAGGGGCGTAACAACCCAGCAGCAGGACCGCTACCTCCACCTTTGTGCAAGGAAGAAAAGGAGGGGCACTACCAGAGCCCTGCAAAATGACCTCCAGCAGGCAACAAATGTGTATGCGTCTGCACAAACAGTTAGAAACGGTCTCTCTGAGGATGATATGAGGGCCCAAAATCCACAGATGATGGTTGTGCTCACAGCTCAACACTGTGCAGGACACTTGGCATTTGCCAGAGATCACCAGGATTGGCAAATTTGCTACTAAATCTTCACAGATGAAAGCAGGTTCACACTGAGCACATGTGGGAGACGTGACAGAGTCTGGAGACACTATGGAGAGCGATCTGCTGCCTTCAACATCCTTCAGCATGACCAGTTTGGCAGTGGGTCAGTAATGGTGTGGGCTGGTATTTCTTTGGAGGGTCACACAGCCCTTAATATGCTCACCAGAGGTAACATGACAGCCATTAGGTACTGAGATGAGATCCTGACCCTTTGTGAGACCATATGCTGGTGCGGTTGGCTCTGGGTTCCTTCAAATGCTGGACAATGCTAGACCTCATGTGGCTGGAATGTGTTAGCAGTTCCTGCAAGATGAAAGCATTGAAGCTACTGTATAGACCGGCCCGCCCGTTCCCCAGACCCTGAAACCTGAGCTGAATCTTGGTCACGATCCATCCATCACTTTGCACCACAGACTTTCCAGGAGTTGGGAGATGCTTTTGTCCAAGTCTGGGAGGAGATCCCTTAGGAGATCATCCACCACATCATCAGGGGCATGCCCAGGTTGTGTGTTCAGTTGTGGGGAGGTTACAAGGGCAGTTGGAGGACACAGACAATACTGAGCCCAATTTTGGCCAGTTTTAAGGACATTAAGTCAGAGTTGAATGAGCCCATAGTCATTTTTTTCACTTGAATTGTGTGGGACTCCAAATCCAGGTCTCCATTGGTTAATAAATTTGATTTCAATTGATGATGTCTGTATTCAGTGAGAATATTTCATTCATTCAGATTTAGGGTGTGCTACTGTATTTAAGTGTCCTCTTTATTTTTTTGAGCAGTTTATGTATACATACATATATATCTTATTTTGTTCTATTTTATTTAATCAATACTCATAGTCTTCACGCTACAGCAGAGCTGCTATTTTTTTTAAAATTTGTCAGATATTGGCGATAAATGGATTCTGATTCTGTTTGCAACTCTGACTAAAATTGCTTTCATCCATGGCCAGTCTGCAATTCATAAAGGAAGTTCTTTGTTTCGATACTTTCCCCATGTCAAATTCCAACCCATGTATTCTTTGACCTTTTGTAAGTATACTTGTTATGCTAACATTATAAAAGTTTAAAGATCTGCATACAATAAACCACAATAACATTTATTTCAAGTCTTGAAGTAGTTGGAAGGACACCTGGCACTGCGAACACATCCATCTCCTCCAGGAAGAACATCAGAAAGTGAAAACAAAAAAGGCATCGAATTGATTGAGATAAAGCAGATTGATAATAGCAGAACCAAAGGATTCTATAGAATACATATGAAAGATGATTTAAGTCTATTTAACGTGAATGAAATGAAGAGTTTTAAACAAGAGTGTTGTTAGGTTTCACTGCAGATGCATGGTCCAAGAACATTTTCCGAAATAACAAAAGGGGTTTTGCCATTGCTGAACAAAACAAATTATTCAAATTTTTCCTAACAAGTTTCCACTCTGCATACACTTTATTGCCCTTTTTAGGCCATTTCCTCATTTGTTATGAATTTTGAAGTCTACAAAATTCTTTCAAAATAATTCGATGTTACTGCCGATATGGAGCAAAAATATAAACTTTTGTTGGGACAGATTTTGTTTGTTGACAGATTATCATATGGTAAATTTCTCCTAAAATTAAAAAAGACAACAACAAAGAAATATACAAAATAACAATATAAGTTAGCTCTCAAGACTAAACAAACTTTGTGAGAATTTTAAAATCTGTTGACTAAATTCACATAACGTCTCACCACTGTTACAATTACACTGTCTCTTAAAATAAAAACGATCCATGCCCTTTGCAATTTGTCACCTTTTAACATCATAATCAAAAAGATATTTAAGGCTTTAGTCTGATAGGCCAAACCATTAACCCTTAATATTGTATAAAGATAAAGCAGAAGAAAACTGCTCTTTCATTTCTTCACTTCACTTCTTATATAACAGCTTTGGATAATACTTTGTAAAGTATTGGTAATATTCTACCATCTGTGTCATCTGTGTTTAGATGCATCCATTTTGCTGTTCACTCTGACCACCTTCCTGGTCTGTGAAGGAAAGCTTTGCCACAGCATGATGCTGCCACCACCAGATGTCACCGTGGGTTTCAGCTTTAACGTTTGCCTTGTAGCAAACTACCATATAAACATAACTTTCTCATGTTTTTATATATAAAGATATATTGTTGCGCTGAGATGTGTGGTGTGGAAGGAAAAATTCAGCAAAGTTGGTTGGAGCAAAAAACAAAAGGTGATTTATTAGGTCTCCTTCATCAGAGTATAGTTATATTTAGATCAAAATGGCAGCTTTCCCATCAGACCCCTTACTACGGCCAGCAGTCCACCTATATACTGTTATCCCCGCCTTCTCAATTTAACCTTTCAGCCAATCAAAGTTGAGCCATCATAACTCCCTCTATAAGAGAGCTGGGTTTGAGGCGTGCCTCCTCCTTAGCAAGGTTCCAAGATGGCTTCTAAAAGGAAACACCCAAAAAGGTAACAAACGATTAAAAAACAAAAGGATTATATACACACATACATTCTAGAACCCGAACATTACAGAAAATCTTATTGCTTCTTAATATATATATCTACAGTATATGTGATTTCATTTTATTCTTTTTTTTTTTTATCTTAAATTATAGATATTTGCATACATTTAGAGAAAAAAAGAAACAAATGTATTCACTTTAAGACTATTAAACAACTTTAGTTGGTCCATTATGCAAAATCACCAAAAATACACTAATGTTTATGGATGGGTTAGGGTTAGAATTTTTTCAAGAAGCAGCAAGGCTCTATATGTGGATTTCAACAACTTACCCACAGTCAGAACTGGATCACTGCAGTACTGTTGATGCGTGGCTGAGAAGGACACACTCCATGCCCAATGGGCTACCTAACAGTGAGTGCCTCCATGGCCCTTCACCATTGCCTAATTCTCTTCTTCTGATTGCTTGGACAGACAGGCCACCCAAAGCCCTGTAAAGGAAATAAATAGATAAATACATTTTGTTAGTATCACCCAAAATAACACCAACATTTGATTTTTTCGTCCAGCAAAATATTGAAATTCTGAAAAAGAAAAATTTGCGAACTCTGGGCGAAACAAAAACAGATGAGAGTAAAAACTACCATAAAGCTAAGCATGTGCAATTATTTTAAAATGAGAAGTGGCATAAAACAGAATAGCCTATTCTTTGCATTGTACCACCATCCCAACAGCATGAAAGGGATAATACAGGACACAAACATATACAGTTGATTTAATTTATTTAATTCATCTCAATCTGAGTTGCACAAAGACTGAATTTCTTTTCTTTTTTATACTTCATTAAAAATAAAATACAACAAGAAGGTTAGTCACAACCCATCAGCCTGCCAGCAGTCTGCATTTGGCAATGTTATAAAAATAAACTCAAATCATGTCTTATTCAAAAACATCAGAGGCAATGTTGCTTCTGTGCAGCGCTGCGTGTGTCCTGCATCAGCACCTTACGCGTTATTTTATGACTGCTAACTGTATTTTTAGTATTCTCTCTGTGATTTAAACTAATATAAAATGCTAATCTGTGATGCTGTGTGTAGAGGAACTGGAGCAGTCCTGAACATTTAACTAATGCTCATTAAGCTGTAACATGAGTCAGAAATATAGCGTAGCATGATTGTGCCAAATGCCACTTAATCAAGTCGGCTTTAAAATGATAAACATGTGACACTGGCTTAATGGGTTTGGACACTTTTTTTTCTGCTTAAAAGAGAACAGTATGTAGAACTTCATGTAAAATGTACAACAGGAACATCTTTTCAATTGATGCCAGATAATTAGATAGCTACAATTAATATGATTTCTTCTTCTTCAAAAAAAAAAAAAACATCTGAGGTTGTTCTACGTAACTATTAAGAAAAGGCAGTTTCCAAAGCTCTATGTTAAAACTGGCCAAAGAGTTTTGCAAAAAAAATTTTTATAATTATTTTTTTCCAGTAATGATTATCTTTCTGCTAAAGAAAGATGAGATTCTATACACTTTAACATACTGAATCAGCTGCTGACAAATGTTCAATCAGCGTATTATCTCCTTTGGCTAAGCTGCTTCTTTTCACACATTTTAATAGACTTTATTAAAGAAATACCAGCTATTACTGGGATTTTTAACATAGATCATTCTTTGTGGGCACTTATGAAATAGAGAGAGAATTTTTTGGAGCATCTCTATCTCTCTTTCTGACCCATATTGATAGCTATTGCAGTGGAACAACCAGTTATAACTTTGTACATAGAAAAACTCTGCAGACAGAGAGAAATTTAATGTGGCACTTTACGTCGTGCTTTTATTATTCATTACTCATTTTACAAGGCCAAAGTATGACAGCATAGCTCTGCTGTCTGCCCCCGATGGCTGAAGCAGTGGGCGGTACTGCTCTGTCTTCAGCTGCATTTGTCGCTAAATTTATGGCATTATGGATTCGCCCTGGTGTATTTATATTCTAAGCAGCAGTGCTTTTGTGATAGATGTGTTAAAAATACACAAAGGGAGTCCAGCAGCTTTACTTTGCTACGCCAGCAAACACAGCCAATCCTTCAGACAAGGGGATTTCTTAAACCAGGCACCTGGGAATATATGCTGGTTGGACAAAAGTTGGGTCATTTTAACCAAACATTGTGACCCAGTTAATTTTGCCCCACAAGAGATTTAAAGAACCATCATTGTTTTTGCAGAGCAAAATTTCTTAACTATAAAACAATCATTCTTTTAAAAAGCAAATTAAAAATGATGGTTACACATTCCCACTTTGGCCCAAACATACTTTGATTATTAATTCATTATAGACAGGTTATTGTGCTTTAGTTATTTCGGTTCCATATCTTCTAGGAAGAATGTTACCCAATTTGCTGCTGCTGATTTGAAGAGATTTAACTAAAGATGCACTTTGAAGAACAAAATCTATAATTTATAAAGGTTTGTTTGTAGTATGGATTTTTTTATACAGATTAATTTGTTTCTATGGAATCAAATAATAAAAGGCAAATTCTTTCCTTTTACCTCAAGGTATTCTTTTCTACACCACCTTTGATGTCCTTAAGGTTAGACATTTAGCCACTTCAGCCCTTTTTTCACGAAAATAAAGGTATATCAATTTATTTCAAACCATTCTATTTATTTTTTATCTGTCTCTGTAATTTCTCCAAAGTTTTTAACGCTCTTTCTCATGGATTGTTTGGCATTTTCCTTTTATTCACTTTGATAAAGTTGATGCTAGCGTGTCTGTAATAAACCCGTGGTGATGTGCTCAAAGCCTCAAAATAGGATCATGTGGCTGTTACTTTAGGGGTCCTATCCTCACTCAGTGGGGAAATTCTTGGACTGTCTACTTGTCTGAATGTTGGCCTGGTCCAGAAAAATATTTTGAAACTGCCCAAGTTGAAAATCCCATTTGAAAATGAATTTTGTTATAATATAGACTTCTCCGTGCAAAATTAAAGACGTCAAATGTTTTATAACAGAGGTGGGCTGCAGCCTGCAGCATGAATAGGTCAGTATAGAGACATATTAGTAAGCTTTCAATCACAGCCACCCAGGTGCCATGTATGCTCTGGTGCCACCTGAACTACTGCATGATGCAGCAAGAATACAGAAAGTCAGTCCCAGACTGCGACACACAATGAAGCCTGACAGCCTTTCACATCAGCACAAACTAACCAGCTGTGAAGGGAACACCTGCCGCTGATTAATACAAGATCAGAACAACAGTAGCGTATGTGAAAATTGTTGAACTAATTGCTGAACTAACACCATTAACCTCAGAGGTTCGACATGGGGGTGAAATGTTACATTTCCTTGGTGGGTTTGAAATGTCAAAGGAAATTATTTTGTATAAGATGAAAAGATGTAGGATGCCGACTGGTGTTTATTTTTAATCATGTTGACATGTACAATATTTAATTTATAGTTTGTAACGAGTCTATAATGTCTGAACTACTTTTTCCATTTACACTTCTTATGGCTTGCAATAAATTCTTCTTATATATTCACTAATTGGCAAGTAGAGGGCACCCTCTGATGGTGCTGCCTTGTGGAATGTACAATTACCTGCTTTTATCTGTGTAAACATATCTGGGAATCCATAGAGGACAAGCTGTTAGAATAGATCATTATTGATGATACTGTCAGAGCCCTTCAAAACAGCATCGCCAAGAGGTGTTATTTAATGTATATTTTAAAATATGCATTGATTTAAGCAAGCTAAATTGCTTTTGAAGGGCATGAAGTTTGGAGTAAGTGATCTGTCTAAGGTTTCTCTGTTGTTACGTAGCTCTTTGTTTATAGATTTAACTGAACACAAGGGTTGGCATCTGATTGTTTATTAATAAGCATTTGTACCTATAATAACAATGAGGACATAAGCTTTTACTTGCAAACAACAAGGTATGAAACTGGATAAAATAATCATTATATGTATGTCATTCATGGTTTTGACAAAAAGAAAGAAATTAATATTAAGTAGTTTCTCTTAGCCAGAGTAATCAGGACATTCTTTTTACTCCCTGCATTTTTACTGAAACCAGAACCATTAAAATAATATAACCAAAATAGAAATTAAACAAAAACA